CTATTTAAAACATGAAAATTATATGAAAATGTTATTTGTTAAAAATATTTTCATAAAAGTATAAATTATTAACTTCGCACAAATATAACAACCAATGTTTTAAAATGCACTAGGCGTTAATCGGGTGCCAGTTCAGCGGCTAGCGCTTGGGCGAGAACTAATCGGACACATATGAATGATATTTGCATCAATATTATTGTGTTTAATTTATGTGTGACTATGTGTACACACACAATAACATGCATGAAAGACAACGTAACATTTAATTAATGGACTTCATTAATTAAAAAAATATAAATGATAAAATTTAAACATATATATAATCCTCAGTATCGTATTAGTTGCAACATTAGAATTTATACACTATTCATGTACTCTACTTTGACTACATTTTATTTATTTATGTATGTGAATTATTATATTTTTGAAAAGTATTGTGGAATTTGGCTCATTACAAAGTTTCATAATCCGAATTTTCAAAATTGTTTTACTAATAGAAAATTAAATATAATGACGGCCAAAGTTACGTTGTGCGTTGACAAATGTGAAAAAGAGAATGTTGCAACTAAAAAAGAAAGGAGGGGATAGTTTTTACTATTTTCTATTTAAATAGCCTGTAAACCCCAATTTTAGGTTGGACGGATTTTAGAGACAAGCCTAGCTAGGAACAAATTTCTTCTTTTGTTTTCAGCATTGGATCTTCAGAGTTCTAGGTTTGTTTGTGAGTTCTTTAATTTCTCTCTTTTAATTAGTGACAATTATTCTTACTTAAGTTACTTTCCTAATTTTGTTTTTTTTTGCAGGACTTTCCTAATTTTGTTGTTAATTCAATAATGAATTTGACTAGATTTAATTAGGGATTGGGATTGACGAAGGGGCGTAATCATGATCTAGGGTTTTATTCTTGGTTGATTAAATGCATGATTATTATTTAATTTTTGCGTGAATAATTTGATGTTAACTTTTGTAACCTGGACCGGCCTCTAGGATTATTATTGTGCATAGAAAAATTTAAGAGAAATATAAATTATTGGGTTATTTTCACATACCTCCCCTGAGGTATGGATAATTAGCACTTTGAGGTAAGTTATTGATATATTATTGAAGTGCCCCCTATTCTCAATCTTATCACATCTCAAATAGATAAAAGGAAATAATTAAAAAGTAATTTGTATGAATTATGACTGTATCAGCGAATGCAAAATTTCGTCTTCTGATACCTTTTTTCTGTTTTTTTTTCGTGTTTTTTATTTCACTCCCCTTTTGATGTAATTATCTTAATTAATTCCTTTTTTAAAAGATATTTTTTCAGTCTACCTTCTTCTATATTTTCTTTTAACTTACACTTGTTTTTTTTTATATTTTTTCTTATTCTTTCCATTATTCTACCATTGATATATTTCCTCCCTTTTCTGAATGATAAAGTTAATAAAAAAAGAAAGATCTTAAACATGCAGAAGTATAAAAGAAAGTACACCAGAAACTAGTGTGAGAAAAATATCTTTTATGTAAAACAAATTAATCTTAAAAGTAACACTTAAAAGGGAAATAAAATATAATATGGGAAGAAGAAAAAAGAAAAAGAAAAAACTGTAGTGGGAATCCTGCCCTAAAAAAACTGTCCTTATAGCATGAAAATAGAATACATACATGGAAATAAAAATAAAAATTAGAAGGCGCAAAAGGATTCAAAAGCACCAATTCAAGAAATAAAAATAAAGAAATAACTTCTAAGGAGAATACTGAAAAAAGATGTATGAGAATAGTATGAGAACATCGATGAAAGTTGAGATTTTTCATTTAATAGTTTTTAAAGGAAAAATATAAAATCTGAAATAACATATCATCAACTAGTTAGAGATTAAAGAAAGAAGGTGAGCAAAAGTGAAACTATTTTGATTTTACGAGCGATGACCAAAGAAATGTGATATAATTATTGTCAATTTGTCCAACAACAAATACTTTTTCCGTATTTTAAAGTTCGCTACACTTTCTCATTTAGAATGTATTTAAAATTCTGCTACACTTTCCTTTTGTGGTAAGTTTTTCATCTAAAATTACTCAATTATCTTTACTTTTTCTATTTTATCTTCTCTTTCATAATTTTCTACCTTATCTCTTTCTTGTTTTAAACTATTCATAACCTCTACTATTTCTTCCTTAAATATTATGTCAAAACCTAAAGTGATCTTTAAAATACGGAGGGAATACGATATTTTTATTAATGTAAAATACGAAGTAGTGTTCATGATATTTTTATTAATGTAAAATACGAAGTAGTGTGCATTTAATGCAGTATACGCATTGAGATTTGATCAAGGCTATTCAATTATTTTCTTTAATCTATTTGAGATTGGGTAGAATCATAGGATAGTGAACTAGGGAGCACTTCAATAATATATGCATAATCCATCTCAAAGTGTCAAATGTTCATACCTCAAGGGAGCTATCTAAAAATAACCCATAAATTATTCTAGCACACTTTCATCCACACTTTGTCACTCGCTAAGAAATTAGCATGATCAAGAAGCCGTACGCTCGCTCGTTTTGGAAATGAACTAGAAGCCTATTGCATGTTATTGTGTGTGTACACACAGTCACACATAAATTAAACACAATAATACTTATCATATTTTGGAAAATATTGATAAAAATATCATTCATATGTGTCCGATTTGTTCTCGAAAGGCGCTAGCCGCTGGACAGGCACCCGATTAACGCCTAGTGCATTTTAGAACATTGGTTATTATATTTGTGCGAAGTTAATAACTTTTATACTTTTATGAAAATATTTTTAACAAATAACATTTTCATATAATTTTCATATATTAAATAGGTTCGTATTAAAAATATCAATGATCAAACTTGATCATCATTGATCAATAAAGTCAATATGACCAAGTTTTATGAAACAATAGAGTAGGGGTGTTTGGTAAACGGCATTTCAGCCGAAAAATGACGGTTTGACCACTTTTAGCGTTTTCGATAAACAGAAAAAGTTAGTTGGTAAATAGCTATTCGGCATCAACGTTTTGGACGAAAACGCTGAAATAAAAACGCTATTAACAGGAGAGTTTTGGGTTGACGTTTTGAAAAATGGAATTTCTACTAAGTTTATGGTCAATCAGCTAAATTACCAAACATTTTCTGACAACCCGCCAATTTGTTCCGATAGTCAAACCCGCTGATAGAAACCGCTATTGACAACCCGCTAACATAATCCGCTATCCGTAAACCGCTGAATGCCAAACACCCGTACGCCCAGTATAAGATTGAGAATTAAACATATTGATTATTTAATTTCAGAAATAAAAATTCGAATAAAAATTGTATGTAGAAATATATTATATATACATGTACTTAGAAAGATCTGTCTAGGTTCAACTTATATGTTTAAAATTGAAAGCTAAAATGTGTCCATATATAGAGACCACATATTATATTTTAACTTAGTACTACTTTAATTAAATTGAAATAGTTAATGCGGGGTACTTTTCATAATTGAGCCGGCTGAAATCAAATGAGCTACGTGCTCAATAAAGAGCACGCAGCGTGCTCGTTAAAATTTTCGATCTATGGTACCTTCAACAAAAAAAGAAACTTTAATTACACTTATTTTGATTACTACATGATTCAGTGTGCGAAATAGAAAGTTACATTTCTGTTAATAAAGTAATCGATAAGGCTGATAAGTTCAAAGAGATTTATTAAACTGGCTCTAAATAAGGCGACAGCTATATTACTGATTACCATGAAAGAGAGAGTACATTAGTACATGTTAACTTTTAGGTAGATTCTATGGTACCCATAAAGTACCATACCTTTGTCAACATGGATCAATAAGAATGTAGCAGTTGACTTATTTAAATCTAAATAAAAATGATTAAGTGGTGTGGTCCAATCAAATGAATGATAGGTACGTATCCCATATTTTAGAAAGGTACCGGGTTGTCACCTTTTAGTTTAATAAACCATCACTATTTCAACAACTTACGGAGTATACAGGGGCGGATCTACATGTTCTTCAATGGGGGCACATGCCCCCAATAAAATGTGAAATTTTAGTGTTATTAAATTGTATTTTAATGTTAAAAGTGGAAGTGCCCCCAATTAAAAAATAAGGATGCCCCCAACAAAACACTCACAATCCCACCTCACTAAGTTTTTTTTAAAGAATCCTACGTCACTAAGTTGATCATCCAAAACCCACTAATCAATTAAAGAATTTTCATATTTTATAAGGCTATTTTTTGTTAGTAATCCTCGCATTTTATTTTTGCATATTTTATAAAAATATGACTAAAATAAGTATCAGCGTTTTTATCTTGAGGATATGTATTCTTGATTTTTATTTTCCAACTAAGAGTACTCGGAAAAATTTTCATTAGGGAAATATGTTTACATGTACCCTTATTTTGGAAATAAGATTAAAGACCGAGTACCTTTCCTCCGAAAAATCATGTTACTACGAGTATAATGTCATGGTTACTTAAGCGTAAAAAGACACATATATTACTATAAGAAAGTTATATATTCTAAATATTAAGCTCAAATATGTGTATGTGCGCGCGCGTGTGCGCGTCTGCGCATTTATTTAAAAAACAATTACATATTTATAAAGGTATTTTACAAGAATGTGACATCTTAAATGTCATAATTAGTTAATACACTTAAATACGGAATAAGTAATTGTTCAAATAAATGTGTGTGCGTATTGAGCTTAATATTTAAAATATAAAAAGTTTTAACTATGAGATTGATTTTAAATATAATATATATTTGAAAAATATTTGAACTAAACCTTTTAAATGATGCTCCCAATAACCTTTTTTCCTGGATCCGTGGGAGTATATGATTAAATATTTAACCAAAGTTATAGTTTAATGTTGAAAGTGAAACAAATTAATGCTATGTGATCAAATTCAAACTAACTTAAAATGATTATCCAAGTTAATAAGGTGTATGGAGTATATCTATGTTTTGATAATTTACTAATAATATGATACAAATAGTTCAAATAAATAATCATAACTTATGATTAGGCAAAATCTTATCGACTCATTCTAAGTACACGTTTTCTCTCAACAGGTTCAAATCAATTTCCGCACCATTCGATCATAAGTTCATAAGTTGATCTGATCGACTGATCCCATAGGCAATTTACATACAAATTAATTGTTCTAAGCTAATTAGGAGCTATGAATTAATAATAAACCCTATCTAACGGTCCGTCATACAAAATCAAATATAAGAAGCGAGTGACTTTGATCTAGACAAGGAGGCGTTGATGAATTTGATGCAATCATCTATCGCTTCAGCTCTGTGATCGTCAGTTCCGATTGAATTCCGGCGAGGAGCGGAAGCTGTACACGAATAATTGCTTCCGGCCACCATCCCCTGCTGCCTCGATGATTTACTGCTGTAGTAAGATGAAGACGAAGATGATGACGAAAACGATGATGAAGAGTCAAGTTTGCGGCATTTCACCGGCGAAATCATCCGCAGAGCCTCCGCCATACTTCCGCTGAATCGCTTGAGATAGTATCGGAGAGGATGAGCCAATTGCGATGACGATCTCTTCGCCGGAGCCTTCAAGCTGCCATTTCTGGTGAACTTGATCTGTTTCTCGAACACTGCCTCTGTTCTCTGTTCTCTGCCTCTCAACATCTTTGATTATCCGATTATCTCTGTATACAGTTTCTTATGAATTTAATTTCTGGAAGGCGAGTGAGGAAGACGTAGAGTGGAGTGACATATATATACAGGCATTGGAGGAGATGGAAGATAGAAAAGGGACCAAAATGATGGAAAGGTGAGGGACAGAAAGGGCACAGATCTTCGGAGTTTTGTGATGGCAGAAGACCGAACACATTGTCCGCCCTACAATGCTTCTGCTCTGCTTACAACCATGACCTACATTACAGGTCAGAATTATTTGAGTACCTAATTCAGTACGTTTTTGGTAGACCATTCCTTCTTTCAGCTTTTGAGATATGAGTAGATATTGTTTACAAAGTAATCTCATTCCTAATTTGTTTGCCTCAGTTTGTTCGAAAATATATAGTGAGCATTCTAGTGTGTTTCATACATCTACTTGATTTTCTCGAGTAGATATTGTTTACAAAGTAATCTCATTCCTAATTTGTTTGCCTCAGTTTGTTCGAAAATATATAGTGAGCATTCTAGTGTGTTTCATACATCTACTTGATTTTCTCGAGTAGATATTGTTTACAAAGTAATCTCATTCCTAATTTGTTTGCCTCAGTTTGTTCGAAAATATATAGTGAGCATTCTAGTGTGTTTCATACATCTACTTGATTTTCTCGAGTAGATATTGTTTACAAAGTACTCTCATTCCTAATTTGTTTGCCTCAGTTTGTTCGAAAATATATAGTGAGCATTCTAGTGTGTTTCATACATCTACTACGTACTTGATTTTCTCGAGTAGATATTGTTTACAAAGTAATCTCATTCCTAATTTGTTTGTCTCGCCTGGTATGAACTGATCTGATTTGGTCCGGTAAATGTGTGGTCTATGTGTATTTTATAATTATGGAAGTGTGATTTGGTCTGGTCTGGTTAGGACCGAAAACAGTCCAAAAGAAAATAGGCTCAAAATATTCACCACATCTCATATTTGGTTACATTTATGGAAACTCTTCCTACTTTCGTCCCAAATTGATTAGCAAAGTAAATTTTTTAGTCAAAAAGTTTCATTTTATTAACTTAATTAGAAAATCAATTTTTAATTATATTCAAATTTGGATTTTGTAATTTTATAGAGATTTTAATATAGTTTCTGAATATATAAATTTTAATAAATAAAAATTGATTATTAATAGGCAGGATTATAAATTTTGATGGTGCTGTGCAAAATAATTTCAAACTTAAATTTTTGTAGAAGTTGCTGAAATGATTGCGATGGCATGCATGATCTCTTTTTCATAATAAAAAGAATGTCCTTTTAACTATATATGGGGTGAAAGTTTCATTCTTTTGTGTATCACATTTTTATTATATTGAATTGGTAACTACTAGTTTGACACATGTTCATAATGTAATACCCCGTAGTCTAATTAAGATGGGATTAGCTCATTCTAAACTTTGTATGATACATATATATGTCGAACCAAGGGCGGATCTAGCTTTGGCATCCAGGTGGAGCAAAAATTTAATGAAAAACATGTATTCAAAAAACATTTATTCTACCAACAAAATAAAGACAAAAATAAAGATTATAGGAATAAGAGTTTTCATTAAAGTCAAATACAAAAACACCATAATTTTACAACTGTTCTCTACGGGTTTTCATCGATTGATATCGTTTGATAATGACATCATTGTCAATTTTCAAGAAGATGTCTTTTTCTACATAAATAAGAAGTCTATCATTGAGCCATTCATCAGTCATCCGGTTGCTCAGCCTATCTTTCACAATATTCATTGCTGAAAACACTCTTTCAACACTAGCGGTTGCAACAGGAAGAATCAATGCCAATGTCAACAATTTGTAAACTAAAGGAAACACCTTGTGCTTCTTAGTTTCTACCAACTTCTCTGCAAGGTCACCAAGTCCTTTGAGATCCTTAAATAAAGCATTAGAGCGCACATCAAAGATATAACTCTCAAGTTGATCGGCTAGAATACAAACATCTAATGGTGAAAAATCCCGAGGATAAAACTCGGCTAATTTAAGCAATTTCTTCTTCTCAAAAGCAGAAAATGAATCTCGTGGAGATAAGCAAGCAATGCAAAGTAGCAGCTCTGTACTAGCTTCTGAGAACCGATCACCCAACTCTTGCAATTGCAAATCAATCACAGCACAAAATAGATCATAGTGAATGTCTCATTCATGTTTGGGATAACAATTGAATGTTCATCACAAAAAGTACAAACATCCTCAAACAATGAATCCCATTCGTCATCTCTAGAAGCTTGAAGTCTGTACCTGCAAACTCTAACAAGATCCATTGCATTGACAATATCTTGATCACGCCTTTGTAAAGCATGTGACAACTCGATTGATATTCCCAAAACAAATTTCATCATATGCAAATTCAGGACAAAATCAAAGGAATGCATCATTTTGAGTAAATACTCTATCTCCACCTTTTGCATAGACGTAGTTACCTCATCATCGTGTATCACATCAAGAACATCACCAACAGCAGAAAACATTGAAATCAAGCTCACCAAAGATCTATAATGTGAACCCCAACGTGTATCACCCGCACGCTGAAGGCTAGATTCTTGGTTAAGACCCCTTCCACTTGAAATTCTACCACTTTCAAGCGCTTCAACAATGAAGTTCAATTATTTTTCACGAAGAATGTCAGAACGTTTACATGAACCTCCAATAACATTTATCAATTGAGCAACAACACGAAAAAATTCAGCAATGAGAAGATTCTTTGTTGCAACAGCTACAAGGGCAAGTTGAAGTTGATGTGCGAAGCAATGAATGTAGTATGCATTTGGGTTCTCATTAAGAATAATTGTTTTCAACCCATTAAGCCTCCCTTGCATATTACTCGCCCCGTCATATCCTTGCCCTCTTAATCTAGATATGCTCAAGTTGTGTTTAGAAAATAGCGTGTCAATCGCTTCCTTCAGTGCAAGTGATGTGGTACTAGTGACATGCTCAACTCCAATAAATCGTTCTTTCACATGTCCCCTAGAATCAACATAACGTAATACAACAGACATTTGCTCTTTTGTTGATACATCACGAGATTCATCAACTAGAACAGAATATAAAGCATCTCCAACATCTTGAATAATAAAACTCATTGTTTCAATAGCACAAGCATGAGCTAAATCTTTCTGAATGCTATGTGCAAGACGCTTACAATTTCCAGGTGCATTCTCCATTACTACAGAAGCTATCTCAGCATTATGATCTCTTAAAAATTCCATGGTCACTAGAAAATTACCTGGATTTAGAGAGTCTTCAGATTCGTCATGACCCCGGAAAGGTAACCCCAACCTCAACAAGTACCAGACACAATCAAGAGATGCTGTCAGTTGAATGAGATAATCATTCTTCATCTGCATTGATTGATTGTCCAAAATTGTCTCAATATGTGCATTTTGGTTCATCAGTGCATCACAACTCATTCGAGCTTGATTGTGCTCACTATCATGCTTTCCAACATGAATATTGAGTTTGGACTTGTCTTTCCAACTGTTAAATCCCAATGAAACAAATACACCTCCTCCTGATTGTTTCCCTTTGATGGGTTTGAAAAGATAACAATACAAACAATAGGCAGCATCTTTAGCTATGCTATACTCCAACCATTCATGCTGAGTAAACCAAGTGGGAACAAATCTTCTTGATTTATTTCCAGAAACCATCTTCATTGGAGAGTCATGTTCAAAAGGTTGACAAGGGCCTTTCTGCAAATATGCTCTTCGTACTTGATCTATGATATTTGGATGATACCTTGAGATCGATATTCTCAATCCAGGATCAGATATAAGTTGGGAAGAATCAAACTCATATAAGTTAGGAAGAATCAAACTCATCAACGGTGACTGCAGGTTGTAGGATATTTACGTTGTTTTGTTCGCCATTTGTTGTTGAATTTTCTTGAACTGTAGTTGACGGCACTACAATTCCGGATGAGCTACTTCCCTTAGCTTTTTATTCAACAGGGTAATATCTCTTCATTACCTTTATTGAAAATAATGGGATGACTAATTACTATACTAATATTGATTAAATTAATAATTAGATTAATAAGAACTTGTACAAACAAAATCATACTATAAATGATGATTAGAATTTACAAGTTTACAGACAATTATAAATAAAGTAGATTAAGAGAATTGAAAGTATATAATCAAATGTGGGGTAATTAAACCATCAATTGGGTAAGATTTATGTATAATAGTTGGCTACTTTAGTTTTCTTCCCCAACCGATACGCTATAGCCTACAAGCAATGACTTTTTAAAACCACACACATAATCACATACATAAACCACATACATACTGCATAGTGCATACATCATGATGATAGGCCATAATTCTTCTCGAAGCAAAGTTGTAATTTAGTCAAACTTGAATTAAAAACACAATAAAATTAAAAAATTATATAATATACCTGTTAAGAACTTAGCAGAATAGCAGTGACTTAGTTAGGGCCTAAGGCTTAGCGTGCCTGAGCCGCTGAGCGGCGAGCGTCTGAGCCGCCGTGCGCCGTCCCGTCCGTCCGGCAGCAAGATGGAGGAGCCGACCAGGGGCGGATCTAGCTTTGGCATCCAAGTGGGGCAAAATTTTAATGAAAAACATGTATTCAAAAAACATTTATTCTACCAACAAAATCAAGACAAAAATAAAGATTATAGGAATAAGAGTTTTCATTAAAGTCAAATACAAAAACACCATAATTTTACAACTGTTCTCTACGGGTTTTCATCGATTGATATCGTTTGATAATGACATCATTGTCAATTTTCAAGAAGATGTCTTTTTCTACATAAATAAGAAGTCTATCATTGAGCCATTCATCAGTCATCCGGTTGCTCAGCCTATCTTTCACAATATTCATTGCTGAAAACACTCTTTCAACACTAGCGGTTGCAACAGGAAGAATCAATGCCAATGTCAACAATTTGTAAACTAAAGGAAACACCTTGTGCTTCTTAGTTTCTACCAACTTCTCTGCAAGGTCACCAAGTCCTTTGAGGTCCTTAAATAAAGCATTAGAGCGCACATCAAAGATATAACTCTCAAGTTGATCGGCTAGAATACAAACATCTAATGGTGAAAAATCCCGAGGATAAAACTCGGCTAATTTAAGCAATTTCTTCTTCTCAAAAGTAGAAAATGAATCTCGTGGAGATAAGCAAGCAATGCAAAGTAGCAGCTCTGTACTAGCTTCTGAGAACCGATCACCCAACTCTTGCAATTGCAAATCAATCACAGCACAAAATAGATCATAGTGAATGTCTCATTCATGTTTGGGATAACAATTGAATGTTCATCACAAAAAGTACAAACATCCTCAAACAATGAATCCCATCCGTCATCTCTAGAAGCTTGAAGTCTATACCTGCAAACTCTAACAAGATCCATTGCATTGACAATATCTTGATCACGCCTTTGTAAAGCATGTGACAACTCGATTGATATTCCCAAAACAAATTTCATCATATGCAAATTCAGGACAAAATCAAAGGAATGCATCATTTTGAGTAAATACTCTATCTCCACCTTTTGCATAGACGTAGTTACCTCATCATCGTGTATCACATCAAGAACATCACCAACAGCAGAAAACATTGAAATCAAGCTCACCAAAGATCTATAATGTGAACCCCAACGTGTATCACCCGCACGCTGAAGGCTAGATTCTTGGTTAAGACCCCTTCCACTTGAAATTCTACCACTTT